ATAATCACGTTTTTTTATTTTTGCGACGTTTGTCGATGTTATAACGTGTTTACGATTGCGCCATAAAATATTTATATAATTAATTAAATGTAAAATTATCATCATTATTATCGTCGTCGTCGTTATTTTCTCGGGGAGAGAGAGAGAGAGAGAGAGTGTTTCGATGTGAATCTCGTGAAGGGATGAAAGAGAGAGAGAGAGAGTGGGAGGCAATTGTTTAATTTTAAACTAATTTAAAAAATTAACGCGTATAAAATAATAATAATAAAACACGCGAGAGAGAGAGAGAGAGAGAGGAGAAAATAACAAAGGAAAAAAGATAAGTCGAATAGGAGGGAGAAGAAAAAACATGGAGAAACATGGAGAAGAATGAATGACGTAAAAATTAAACTGTTTAATTAAATGAATGAAGAAGTTGCCAGACGAATTTAAAAAAAAAAAAAAATAATAATAATAAAAACGAATTCAAAGCCTTTCTTATTAAACAAACAAAACAAACGTGATGACGTAACATATTTAAAAAAAAAAAAGGAAAGAATACAAAACTGGAGAAGAGACAACTGGAGAAAAAAAAGAAACGATACCTAATTTTTTTTTTTTTTTTTTTGAAAAACGATGTGAAAATTATAAAAATTTCCTTTTTGTTTATTATTATTATTATTACTATGGGCTGATAAGAATAATCGATAAGAGAGAGAGAGAGAGAGAGAGAGGAAATTTGATAGCGACGAAGACGGGGAAAAGAGAAAGAGGTGAGAGACGATGACCCTGTTCCGGTTTTTTGGAATCCTAATTGCGAAATGATTATATACGATCGATATAAAACGTAATGAGATGTAATAAAAGCCAAGACGATAATGATGGCGGCGGTGGCGGTGGCGGTGTCGGTGTCGTCGGCTGTAATGATAGTGGATGGAAGTATAGCAATGCTCGGTGGCATCGACGACGACGACGACAACAAAGAACATAACCGCGAACAAACATTCGTCGGATGTAACGTCTCTGAGTAAGTTAGTGTCGGTGACGTCAATATAAAACTCAGTTTGCCGGTCGTTACTCCGTGAGTCCGGATCCGACCCTGAACTTGCATTAATATTTCTAGAAATTGTTGGAAACAAGTCAGTTTCTCTGACAATGTGAAGTAGTGTATTGTAAAATGTGTCATTTCACCGAGAAAAAGGAAATGGAAGACGAAGAAGAAGTGAAATTTTCATGTGTGTGTTTTTATAAGTTTTCTTTTTTTCTTAACTTCTTCTTTTCTTCTTTTTCCTTTTTTCCTTTTCCCTTTTCCATTGAATTTATTTCTCGTTTTATTATTTTTCCCCTCGTCAAAAATTTTTTTTCTTTTAAAAATTCATGTGTTTCGTGTTTATTTTTTTGAGAGTGCGCGTTTGTCGTCGTGTGACTATAATACTCGTTAACAACCGTAACGTATTATTTAAGGCATTTTATCGCGTCGCTAAACGAACGAACGACCTTTTACCGCGAAAATTCACAACCGCAAAAAACAATTTTTTTTAAAAAATTTATTCACGTCGTCGTCTTTTTTTTTTTGTATTTTTAGCAAAAAATAAATTTTTTTTTTTTTTTTCTGCCGAATCAAACGTTTTTGTTTTTTGTTAAAAGCAGAAGAAAAAAAAATCATTGACTTGCGCATCTTTTTTTTATGGTTGCCAATATTTCAAAATATTTTCGACAGTTTTTTCTTCCCTTTTTTTTTGTTTTATATAGAATTATTAATTCAAAACAGGTTTTTTTTTAACGTTTGCTGTCGAGAACAGTTTTTTGTTTTTCATCGTAACGTCGCTCCTGTCGCTGTAGAATTTATATTTTTAAATTTTTATTTTTTTAATATTTTCTTTGTGTTAATGCCTGCGAGCCAATAACAAACCAACCAGGCCAGCCGGAGAAAGAGCCAGACATCCAGCGAGCCAGCCAGCCAGCCAGTCAGCCTGCCTGCCTGCCTGCCTGCCTGTCTGCTGCCCCCCTTCCCCCCTATCTCTCTCTCTCTCTCTTTTTCTTCTTTCTCGCAAATTTTCTGCTTGCAAAATACAAACAACTGACTGAAACTGTTAACTTGGCATTTTTGACCTTTTACAAACGTTTTTTTTTTTTTTTTGCTATCAAACAAAAAGGAAAAAAGGAGGAAAATTTAATTTTTAACAAAGACGAACGAATTTGACGTGCGTGCGTGATACAATTAAAAAAAAAAAAAAGTTACGATTTCCCACCCTCCCCCTCCCCTTTACAACATTTTCCTCAACCTTAATCATATCTATTTTCAACAGCAATTTTTTTTTTTTGCTACTAATGAGAAAGTTATGCAAGGTTGAATTTACGTAATTCTACCGATAGCAAATCGTGTTCATCATTTTTACCATCGAATAAAAACGTTTCTCTCTCTCTCACACACTCATTCTTTCTCTCTTTCTTTAATTAATTCGATAATAATAATAATTTTTTGAACGAACGGAGCAAAATTGTTGAAATTTTACAAATGGCAGATGGTTGTTAAAAAAATCACACACACAAAAACGTACCTAATCTTTTTTCTTTTCTTTACAAAAACGTTTTCAGGTACGACGACAATGAATAACAAAAACGTTTATTGTACCTGTCAATCGTTTTTTTTCCCCAGCTCAGGTGTCCCTTTTTTTTTTTTGAATTAAATCCACCCCCCCACCCACATCCACGACACATTTGGCATAATTTTGTTCGACGAACCAACTCTGTCATTCATTTATTATTATTATTATTATTATATTACGTGCGTAATTAATAAATAAATTATGACGGTCATCCACTCTTGTTTCAAGTACCTGCCTGCCTGGCAACGAACTTATTCCACGAACGAAGAATCACTCGTTCAAGTACCCAAACCTGTTTGGACCGTTTAAAAAAAAATTGTTTTCATCTTCTTTTTCATATTCCCATCATAATAAATAAATAAATATCGGAAACAACCATTTTGAATTTTTTTTTTTCTTTCGTATCTTTAAAACATTATAAATCTTTTATTGAAATTAAGATGGCGGAATTTTTTTTAAATATAAAAATTAGACGTTACGAACACGTTCGAAAGAAAAATCATTATTATTATTACTGTTATACCTGAGAAACGTGTTATCGGTGCAATAAAAGAAGAAGAAGATGAAGATGAAGGAGGGGGGAAAAAAATGACGAAAAGTATTTCTAAGAGAGACAGACAGGTACCAACGAAACAACAAACGCGCACTCATTTGCCACAAACAATGAGACAAACAACGACAATTTCGCTCTTGTTTGTTATTTAAGTTCACATTTCAAAAAAAAAATTATTATCTTTTGTTGATAATTACGAATGAGTAGTAATAGATAGAATAGTCTGGAATTTTCTTTCGACTTTGTCCATGAAAGTTTATGCAAAAAAAAAATATAAAAATAAATAAAATGGCGACAACTTTATAATAAAAAAAAGGTCTCTAATAATGATGATGATGATAATTCAAGAGAGAAAGAAACATTTTTAAAATGTCAGACGGTATCGATTATTCACCCCTCATACAAACAAACAAACAAACAAACCATAGTCTATAAATATAATTCAATAAAAATTTTTTTTTTTAAATTCCACGTCTTTCTCTCTCTATCTCTTTTCCTCCTCTTAGTTTATAATTCAGGCTCGGAGAGTATGGATAATAAATTTAATATTATTTCCGGTAGTTAAAAAAAAAAAACCTAACGTCTCCATCATCATCATCATCATCATCGTAATCGATTTTTTCATTGATTCTTCATATCTTGTCTTGTCTTGTTATCGATACTTTCTCAGGTAATAAAATAACAAACAAATGACTCAACATGCATGCATGCATGAACACGCAACAACTTTTCGTTGGCATTTGCAAAAAAAAAATTCCCCCTTCCCTCCCCTCCCCTTCCCCTTCCTCCCCTCGTTTTTTCGAAGAATACAATCGTAAGCAAAAATTACATAAATAAATAATAAATTGGAATTTTTTAAATTAATAAATAAGAAGAAAATGAACGAACTAAACAATATTTCGATGTACCCACCCCCCCCCCTTTTCACTTTCATTTTAAACCACGAAAATAATTCTTTTCTAGTTATTATTATTATTATTATCGTATGACGTCATCGTGTGATATTTTAATATTAAAAATTAATTTTAAGACAATAAAAAAAAAATTATTATTATTTATCACGTCTTCGTCGTCGTCGTCGATTCGTATGAAAATATAATAATAAATAAATACGTTAGTTAGGTTTTTTTTTTTCGTGTCATTAGACAACGATGAATCATCTATTTAGTTTCGGATGCGAAAGCAACAACAACAACAACAACAACAACCACTCTCTTCATTATTTAATTTTATTTTTTTTCGTTTGCAAAACGACGCGATCGATCCACGATTTTCGTTCATTGATAACGATAACAAAACGTTTCTAATATATATATATAGAATTGATTTATTATTATTATTATCATCATCATTATTATTACCATCGATACGATTGAACGAAATGGACGATTCGTTATTTTAATAAATCTAAAAATAAATAAAAACAACAAGAACGACGACGATAAACGTGATGAATTTGTGTGTGTGCGTGTGTATTCGCGTGTGCGCGTAACGAAAATAATTTATAATTATTATTATTATTAATTTCGTTTATCGACCGCCCGCCATTTTTAAAAAATTTAAAATTACGTTATTATTATTATTTTTTTTTTTTTCAGAAAATTGAAAGAAATTCGAATTAATTAATAATAATATTTAAAAAAAAACTCACACGTGAAAATAGAAAAAAAAGTGTTTTGACGTGGAATTAATAATTTAAATAATAATAATAATAATAATAATAAGAAACAAACACAAAACAACTATAGTGAAGTTAGTGAAATGTTATTACGAAAACAAAAGAATAATGTTAAATTCATGAAGAAAGAAAGTTAAATAATAACGTTTTACTTTTCGAGTTTCGAATTTTTTTCGAAAAAATGAAGGAAGACGGAGCCGTAGAGGAAACGAGTTCAGAAAGTTCAGAAAAAGAAGAAGAATCTGAATATATTTACGATGCCGTCATGAACAAAACGTACCTACGTAGAAGGTTTTTAGGAAAGGTAAGAAAAAAAAACGTCAATTTTTTTTTATATAAAAAAAAAAAAAGGTTTTTCCTTTCGTACGAAAGGAAACGAATCGAATGATAATGATAAAAAATTTAATTTATGACAGTCGTGTCACAAGTTGAATTTGAATTTGGTTATCTGAATTTAAATTAGTCGTCAACCTCATCTCATCTCAAAAAAAAAAAATGAAAATTTTATTTTAACGTATCCGCCATTTTATCTTTTCCCCCTCCACTTTCCCCCCTTTTCCTCTCCCCCATCAATTAAAGGATCCGCAAAAAAAAAAAAAAATGGCGTACAAATTTTTTATTATTTTGATACCCGTTCGAAAAAAGAAAAAAAAAAAAACCTTTTTGTAAATGTATACTCCGTAATAATAGTAATAATAAATAAAATTCTGCGAAATCAGGTTTGAACCTGTACGTCGTAGACTGTATCGACAACAACAACAACAACAACTTTGGAATTTCGCATCGGATTTAAGTAATAATTATATTATTATTATTATTAATCGTTTGTGCTGTAAGGTAAAACGCAGGTAATAAATATGTTTTTCTTTTTTCCTTCCCTCCCCTTCCCCTTCTCCTTTACCCCCTCGCAAAAAAAGGAAGGAAGCAACAACAGTGAAACGTTATAATTTTCCTACCCGTCGGCCATTTTGAAAAATTTTCTCAATTTTTAGTCGTAATATAAAAAAAAGAAATTTGTTAATTTTTGTTTTCGTTGACGTGGCATTTGATAACGCGAACGGATTAAAGGGCAATCGATTAATTTGTTTTTTGCAAAAAAACATTTTTTCTTTTTTTGGAAGAGAGAGAGAGAGAGAGAGAGAGAAAAGAAAAATGGCGGAATAATAGAGAGAGGGGAGAGGGGAAGAGAGAGGAGAGGTATTATTCCCTGCGAAACAAACGAAACTGTGTAAATAAAATTATGGATTAATCAAAAAGGCGGTGTTATAATGTTGTAACACCTGAACAAATAAATAAATAATTTTTTTTTTTTTTTTCAAAGAAACGAAAACGTTTTTTTTTTTTTTGTTAAATCAACTTCTGACACGTTCGATAACGAAATAATAAAAAAAAAAAAATTTCATCGAAAGAGAGAAAGAAAATCAATGTAATAAATTAATCAGATATTTTCGTGACGAAAAAAGAATTTGTATTTAAATATTGAATTTTATAAACGGTAACAAAAAAAACGTAGAGAAAGAAACGTGGAAGCAGAGAATTATTTATTATTGATTTTATCCTATTTTATATAGATTTCCCCGCCCCCGCCCCACGCCTACCTCCCTCCCGACGGTTCAAATCGAAATCGACGACGACGACGTCGAAAAAATTTTTTTGATTGAGATTTAAAAAAAAAAAAAATGTTTCGACAACAACAACAACCATTTTACCTCTTTTTCGTACTACTACCCCGTTTGTTGTTGTTGTTGTTGTTGTTGTATTTATAAAAATAATAATAATAATAATTTTACGTTTCGAATACTGACCGCGTAAAATTCGATTCAAAAGATGATGATGATGAGGCTGAGTCAGGTGACCGAAAAAAATTAATTTTAGGGTTGACCGCTTTTTATAAGGGTTCTCGTCTTGTTATATTAACGTGGCAGAAGTCAAATCTCGAAGGACTTGTTAGATACGTCCAACTTAAATTTTATTTTGATGGAATACAATTTTTTTTTTTTTTTGGTCTTTTGTTGTTATTATCACGAAAGAGTTTCCCCTCCCCGCCGCCCCTCGCCACCCCTACCCGATAATAATAAAACCGATAAAAAAATTTAGTCGTGTCATTAGGCCGAAAAGGTTTTTTCATATTATTTTTTCGTTACCGTAATGAAAACATGCTAAGATGTAATAAAACGAAAAAAAAAAAAAAAAAAAAAAAACGTTTCGGTAATTTTATTGGGGGGAAGAGGAGGTGAGAGAAGGGAGGGGAGGGGAGGGGAGGGGAGAAGGGTTTAAATTAAACCGCTTTTCGATTTTTACGTTTTTTTTACCTATTCTGAAAAAGAAAGCGATGATTTCAAAAAATTTACGCGCGTTTTAACTTTTTCTAAATTTCAAAAAAAAATTTTCGACTGACTCAATAGAAATTTTTTTTTTTTTTTTTAAATTCTTTGAAATCGTTCGCGGGATTCGTTATTCTGGCTTATGGCCAAAATGGAGATTTTTTTAAAATTTACTTTTTTCAATTTTATTATTTAAAAAAATATACTTCTATGCGTTGGTACTGCCCCACGCTTTTAAATATTTTAAATATATTTTGCAATTAAATTAAATTTTCCCGCAGGGGGAGGATATCACACACACGCACGTGCACGTGCACGTACACGAACGCACACACCCCCCACTCCCAACACTTAGCAAAAAATTATTTTCGTCACCTCATTTTTCATAATCACCTACCATTCGCGCCAAAAAATTAAAAATTAAAAACCGGCAAATTTCGTTGAAAAAAAATGACGTCACAAATGATTATGACGTATTTTGTCGCGAGATAACACGTGACGTTGTTAAAAAAAAAAAAAATTAAAATTTACAGATTTAATTAATCTATTCCCGACGAATGAAAACGGGATTCAAGGTTCATTAATTTCGTTTAATTTCACTATGAAACGTTGTTATGATTAATCGTAATTATCATAATTGAATTTTTTCTATTTCGTCGTGGTTTTAAATCGATTTTAACGTGGCTAATGATAATCGTTATTAATTTAAAATTCGAATTTTAAAAAAAGGGGGGGGGAATAACCACGTGACTTTTATTTATTAATAAATTTTTATAATTTGTTTTTACGTTTAAAAAAAAAAAAATTCTAAAAAAAATTTTCGCGAAAGAGATTCCCGCAATTTTTTTTTTTTTTTTCGTCCATTTAAAAAAAAAACAAACGAAACAAACAAACAAACAAACGAACAAACAAAAACAATAACAATAACAATATTTTTTACGTGACCGAAAAAAAACATACACATGTCCGATCCGTGTTGATTTACATTTCGTGTTTGCCACAGCCATAATAATAATAATAATAATAATAACGTTAGGATAAACATAAAATATAAGGTCGTGACCGTATGTGTGAGCCAATAATAATAATAATAATTTTCCTTCATTGGTACATTTGCGCCTGCCGAAAATAATATATATTTAAAAAAAAAAAGACTTTGATTTTTTGTTGTTGTTGTTGTTTTGTCCTACGGATTTATAAACAAAGCAGACGACGACATTTATTACAAAAACAAAACAAAACGAAAAAAATGACCGAAACTCTTTTTGTCATTGTTATTATCGCGTATTATAAAAAATCAAAATATTTTCTTTTTTTTTTTTTTTTTTTAGTCTTTTTCATCGCGTAAAAATAATAATGATAATAAGATTTTTAGTTTTTTAAAAAAAGGCGGTGGTTGATTGGTCAATTAATTAATTAATTAATCCCGAAATGAACTTTTCATAATATGTTAAAATTATGAAACAAAAATTATGCGAAATGAATTTTTTCAAAAAAAATCGATTTCCGTCATCGTCGTCGTGGCACAAACGAAAGATTTTTTTAACGACGTTTTAATGTTATAAAAATAATAATAATAATAATAAAACGGACTGTTAATGAGTGGAAGGGCATTAAAGGAAATAAACGATCGACGCATTCATACCCGTATATAAAACGTAAAATAATAATTTCTTTTTTTTTTCTTTTAATAACTTTTCGTCAGAAAGAGAGAGATTTAAAAAGTTTTAAAGCTTTTAACTTTAACGCGTTTTTACGCGTGAATAACTTATAACACACGCACACGCACGCACACACGTAATAATAATAATAATACTTATTATTATTACTTGAAATATTCAACGTCTCGTCTTCGTATGAGAATTTAAAGAAAACGTGCACATTAAATAATAATAATAAAAAGAAAAAAAGTTTACGGGTTTTTATTTTTTTTCTACTGCCACGTTAAAAAACAAAACAAATAATAATAATAATAATAATAATAATAATAACGTTTTTTTTTACTTTTTATTTTTTTCGATATCGATTCCTTTTTTATTTTTTAACGAGTTTTTAAATTCGAAAAAAAAAAAAAATTTTTTTTTTCTTTCATGTTAAGACGAAATTATTATTTTATTTTACCTTCGTTCGATAATCAATAATAATAATAATAATAATAATAATAATAATAATAAAAGTTATACATGCAGAAGAAAAAACTACAAAAAAAGGAGTTCTGAAAAGGGCAAAACAAATCGTCCAAGAAAATAAAGAAAACGAGATAATGGAAGAGGGGCAACTTGCAACTTATAATAGCAAAGCCCAATCTCAGAAGAAATTAATAAGCAAATGGGAACAGAAAAAATTACATGGGCAATACCTAAAAAGAATAAATGCCGAAGATATTAATAAGAAGAGCACGCACAATTGGCTACGACGTGGAAAACTTAAAATAGAAACAGAAGCGTTTATTACAGCGGCTCAAGATCAGGCATTGCGGACCCATAACTATGAAAAAGTAATTCTCAAAGTCCGCCAAGATGACAAGTGCCGAATTTGCCAATCTCAATCGGAAACCATCGATCATTTAATTTCCGGTTGTCCGATACTGGCAAAACATGAATATTTAGAAAGGCACAATAAAATATGTCAATATCTCCATTGGAGTATATGCCGAGAATATGGAATGGATGGATTACCCAAGGAGTGGTACAACCACATTCCAAGCCCGGTTACGACAGTAGGTCCATGCACAGTTCTATATGATCAACAAATCCACACTGATAGAACTGTGCCAGCTAACAAACCGGATATCATACTCAGGCATAATGGGGAAAAATGGTGTAAGTTAATTGAGGTATCCGTGCCGGCAGAAAAAAACACCACAGCCAAAGAAGCAGACAAAAGGCTGAAATACAGAAATTTGGAAATTGAAATAACCAGGATGTGGGGAACAAAAACTGAAACGATTCCGGTCATCGTGGGAGCATTGGGAGCCATGCCACATTCAATAAAAGGAAATTTAAAGAAGATTATGAAGAACCTAAAAGAAGAAACCATCCAGGAAATCGCACTATGTGGGACGGCCCACATTCTTCGGAAAATATTATAAATAGCACCACCGATATTCGAGTATTTGTCCCTAAGGA